CATACAATTAGGCAAAGGACTGAATATGAAACGGTTTAATTGAAAATGGGTAGATATCTAACCTAGTATACGCAACAATGATTGGAAGTGTACGTATACGTTGCGTACGCCTTCATGTAAGATAACACGCATAAATTAATAATATCAAACCGAAACATACTTGTAATTACACGGTCGGTACATGGAAGAGAACAGTTCTAAATGACTATGCTCGTACACTACGTTAATAGGAACAGACTTAATGAATAAAAGATAGTTACTGAGAAGGCAAGGTACAAGCGTCCGGAACTAAGGAAAGATCACAAGACTCTTGATTTCTGCCTCCTTACTTTGAAAAACTTTTCGCGGAGAGTGGAAAGATTCTAACTTAGTGATAAAACAAGTGCTTTTTCTCAGAATTTCGAATCAAAAGAAAAAGTATTTGTTATGGTATAGAAAGCAGTGAAAATGGGAAAAGAATAGAACACTGTACTTTTGGATAGAAAAAGAAATTAAAACATGGAGATTTATATAAATATGTGCAAAATAAATAACAAAATCTTACATAAATTCTTGTTATTTATCACATCGTGACGGTTTAGATATAACACTAAGACGAATATGATAAAAATACATTACGAAGAAGGTCCGACGAATATCTCTATGCTTTAATATTATATTAAATCCTATCGCTTTCAAAATCTAGCCTGAAAATTAAATCTCTAGCATGATAAATTGAACCTTGTTTCGGTTTCAGCGTCAACTAACAAATTACTCTGCCTCTGAGATATAATCAATACACCCAAAAAATTAATTCCAGTCCGATTTTTCAACCCTTCGCCTTTCTTACTTTGAATTTAGCAACTGAGACGAGTACTCGGAACATTTTCTCGCTGTCTATGACTTCACCCTTGTGCGAGTAAAATTAATGAGCCCCTATTAATTCTCACGGTACGAAGCGAGCCTTCAACGAGGAGATTTTTCCAGCGAACGGTGCACCACACCGTTGTATACAAATTGTTCGCGAACGATAATAACAACACACGCAATCGCGGACCTCGTCTATGATTTATATGCCAGTCATTGTTCGCCACGCGACGACGACAGCGCGTGAGTCAAGACTATATCATTATTATTCTACCACTCTTTCGCCTGCAATTTTAACGAAGAATGAATCCTGCCTTCAACAAGTGTCCACGCTTCCACGAAACTCGCTACGTATCGCGTTTAAACCGCCCCGTTTTATTTTCCTACCTTCATACTTTCATGATTTATCGCCAGGCAGAGAAAATATCGCGAACTTTTCTTTACAATCGAGCTGCGTGAAAAATTGACGATCTTGATATTTCTGGATTAGGAGCTATTCTAGAGTACTTGCGTTAATTTCCATTCTAAATTTTATGCCACCATGCTCACATTTTGATAATATTTAGTTAAATTACATATAATTATTCTTACTCGTTACATTTATTATTTAGCACTGTTCGTGTTTAAGTTACCCTATTTCAGATCGCTAAGAATTTTCCCTCGTTTCCACTTTTTCCGATGCTACTAAAAATAATTCAAATTAGACATAGTAAAATCGTGTATTTATATTAGTGTTATATATTTACTATGTTATATATATGTTATACATTTCACACGATCCATCGCTACGTCCATTTATTTCTTAATTTTCAATCGAATTTCAGTCGAATTCGCAAATCTACCAAAATTTACCAAAACAATAGAATTCTCTGTTAACGAAGCAACGCTATTTTCCCTAATTACGTATTACTGGAACCACATGTGGACGAATTGCAGTGATCCAAACCACGTATCGTCCCACACAGGTTAATCGAAAGTTTCACGACGCAATCACCAGCGTGGTCAACTTCCATTCTCTAACTCATAATCCTCCACTAATTATTCTGTAGAGCCAACATGAGTGCAACTTCCTCTGAAAGTTGCACGATCACGTCACAGACTTCTGCCAATCAACTCCACGCTAGGAACAATCATTTCGCTAATTGTTTCGCGTTCGCCGCCTATCAACTTTGTTTGTCAGGGATTTCATGAATTACAATGATACTATTATCATCATCAAACGGCGGAGACATCAAGGGTAAGCTTGTTTCATCGACGCCGCACAATGCACAACAAGGAAGAGAAAGAAAAGCCGATTCTCTCTTTTTGAAACGTTATCATCTCGACGAAGACAGTGAACCGTACTCTGATCGCGAATAAATTATAACTTCCCTTGATTCCGCGCTCGAGCCGTGGCAATTTTATCCCCGCGAGACATTCTTTCATTGAAATGACAAATAAATAGCGGAAGTAGAATGGAAACGTAGGAGTCAGACAATGAGGCACTTGTACGTCACGTGTGGATTATTATTATTATCATCGCTACGATTATTGTGGCTTTACGAGAGTTTCAGCGGATAGAGAGAAGCCTGTGCATTTATGAAGTGCCTTTTAACCCGATTAAAATAGATGTTGGTGCGCGTGACGATGTTTGAAAGAGATTTGATTAGATTAGAAAAAGCTAAATGATTTATTGATTAAAATAGTTGATTGATTGCGTGTGTGTAGAATATAACTAGAATAGAATTAATATGAGAATTATTTCCTATTTTGATGATTATAGAAATTTTGAAGAGTTAAGTTTTGAAGAGAACTATGCAGGCGAAGATTACATCGTTGTATTGTTAATGGACATTTTAAGGATATTCAGCAGAAACTTTATTCTTCAATTTCGATTTAATTTTTTTGTCATTTTTTTTAGGCTATACGTAATTAAAAATATTATGAGAATAATGCTTAATAATACCACAACATTATCTTCCACTACGATAATATATTCTTTTCAAAATCTATTCTTCAAACACCCTAAAAACTTACTTAATGTATATGTATTTCCAAAATAAAAAGTAAAAAAGAAATTACGAGAAAGGTGTTGTTAACTTTCCCAGCATAATGCTGATGGAACAAAGCGTGTAATTCTCAGTAATTTCCTAAATGAAATATATTTACGTATTTCTGTCTAAGGACTATAGAATAATTAGAAACTATCAAATGAGCTCCTTTCTTGTAATGATGCAGGTTTCTAAGTAAGCGTACGATTATTACTATTCACTGATTATGAAAGGGTTAATGAAAGGATCGCTGAACACGGTTAATAGAACACATAAGTGTTTTAATTATACTAAATCCTCGAAAGAACTTTAAATGGAAAAATTTAGCTGTTTCTGCTCAGTGAATACGAAATGATTAATAAAACATTCTTGCAACATAATCGATAAGATATAAAATGTAGTTTCCTGCGTGAAATGTGAATAAAATTTTAAGCGAAACCAGTGTAAATTATTCAATCGCACCAATAATATTTCTCATTTCTACACCTAAATCTCATGACTGAAACATTTTGGTCATAAACCTAATTAGTAATAACGTTTGTAATAAATACAATTTATTGCAACCGTAAAGAAATTATCCACGACTAAATAATCCTGAACTTCAACTTTTGGAACGAACAAAATAAAACTCGATGATTTTTGTTGTATGTCGAGAATACGCAACCAGTTTCCGCGTGCATTATCAATTTCGTTCTCCATCACGTTGAACGAACTCGGTAGTGAGCATATTCGCGATTGCTCCAATCGAAAGTCGCGAATTAAATTCATAAATATTTATTAAATGATCCGGCCCGTTATAATCGACACCCGGGAGGGGAAGGCGACTGAAAGCGTTAAATAAATATCCGTTTTTCTCGTGAATAATAATTGCATCGCGGTTAGCCTGAATTTTTCACGCGAATTCCGACCTCCAAGCGAAAATCAACGAAAATTTGCCATGAAATAAAAAGGGAAAGAATAGAAAAAAAAGAAAGAGAAGGGAACAGGTAAAAAAGAAGAAGAAAGGGGAAACAGCAAAAAATTGGCGGAATGTAATCTAGAATAAAGTGCCATATATAAAATTAACAGATCGCGCTTTGTATGTAAATTTGATATACGACGACGGAAAGTTGATATATCATTTTCTATGCATATTCATACGTGAATTCATACGTGGCCTCGGTATTTGTTTTACGAGGACGCCTATGGCTCCATTATTCTTCCTATTCCGTGAATTTATAAACGGTACGAATGTCTCTTTTAGTTTCCGCCGCAATTTTATCATACGTATAAACCATATTTTGTATCGTGTTTCATTGCAGTTTAGAAAAACATTTCTACCACACGGCTGTGAATATCATGTACTTTAAAAATAATGAGAGTAAGTTGCAAAAAAAATAGAAGGATTTCGCGAAACGAAATTGAGGAAAATCGTAATGATATCCTCATGGTAATTTGAAGATAATGTGGAAGATTTAACGACAGACAGTGATTTATTTCAATGGAAGCTTTCTATTCAGCTTTCACGATTTTCTGTTACTTTTCATTTTGTCCTTCCCTCCTGGCGAAATCCACGAAAATTGTGCAATTCGTACGGTCAACCGGTCGGCTAAAGTTATGCTAATTAAGTTATCAGGATTCATTCGGTTTCATTCCAATTAATTTCTGTCGTTTCGTTTAATAAACAATAGTGTATCGTGCTTTCACGTTGATGAATCTTTAAACGTAATTAAATATTAATCCTATATATGATATTCCGTGTTGCACCAACATATTCACGATATGACGAACAACTCGTGTAAATAAATTTAGGAATGCGGCAAATTTTGCAACTATATGGAAAGCACATTATGTCGGTTGGTTTGTTTTACCAATGCATCGATATGTAATATAAATTACGAAATAAATTTGATGGTCTCCATAAATAAGCAAAATGATACATAATTGCTAACAGGAGGAAAAATTTGGACGTTCTCTGCAATTTTTCATTTAATCTTTTTCTTCGATAATCCTTCATCTTTTCCAATTTCTTTGTTTCAATGAAATAAGTTATTCGCACTTACCTTTTACACAAATCGATACGGATGGTGCACAGGAATGAGGAGGATCGAATGATGGAGTATATTCATCACACGACACTATGTATATAGTGTTGAGAATAAATTAATATATTTGAAATGAATATACGGTAGATACTGTCTCGCATCCCAGATTTTATGGCATCTCGTAACATCTTCTCTCTCTCTCTCTCTCTCTCTCACTCTTTCGCTGTCCTTCTCTTCTCCTCTTCGCATCCCCTTATCGATCTCCGATATCCCTCTCTTTCTCACACACACTCAAAATGCACCCTGGTATGACACAAAAAGAAAAAAGAAAAAAAAAACAAGAAGAGGAGAAACATCCCGCAATTCAGCTTTGTACCGCTTGTCATTATTTTCAGCATCCTTCACGCACTGTCTAAAACTTTCCTTTTATTCTCTATGTTATATACACGCGTACCAGGCGAAATCTCTATTGCTTTAAATAATATCCGCGACTCGACGAACACTTGGGTATCGACTACGATCAATTAAATAAAACGAAATCGTCCATACTTCGAGCTATTTACATTAAATACACGCGCAGTCTGTCGCTCTCTCGCACACGCATCTGTACTATCTCTATCTATCTCTCATCCTCCGCCATATCTCCCGAACAAAATCGTTCTAGAACGAAAAAGAGGAAGATGATGCTTGTTTTATTGCACATTCTCGTCTCGATCTCTACACTCGAACACGCAGGACAAAGAAGAAAGTCGAACACCCTGGATAGACTCAACGTCACTCACGCACTCGATGCAGATATGTCGAAACTGATATAAGCTTCCCTTTATTCAGTCAAAAAACTCGTCGCTTTTCTTTTTGTCTCTTTCGAGCCACGCGACCGACGAAAACAGTCACGCTTCGACAGCGAAAACTCTCTGGAATCTCCAATTGGATCGTGGAACGTAGATCGAATCACTGTTCGTCATCCTTCGTTAAAGATCCTTTCTTCTTGACCAATCGAACGATACTAAACAATGTTAACCTTGCTCGACCTATCACGAAACCATGGTAAGTCTTCTAAGAAACGAAAGATCTAGGCTCGCCATCATAGGAACTCTTCTGTTCCACCTCGAACAGCGATAATAGGGTACTGTCCTAAACGTGTGTATCTCCCTAACCTCAACCTTCTCGTTGTTCACGATAATGTTCTCGCGAAACTGGCCCATCACTTCGTTGTCTAACACCGAAACTCGCGTCGTTTGTCACCGGAAAATCTCGACTGGAAGGAATTCGACTTCTTGACTCACTACGTGGTGGATGGCGAAGTGGGTACGGAGATCGGCGACGTGGGGCTGCTCGACTCTCTTCCGTTAGAAAGGGTTGGCGTCGAGGCTCTGTATTCGTTGTGGATTCCAGGGGTGCTGGTCCTGTTATTGCCCAGGAGACTGTCGATGGAGAAGGGGTTCAGCCTCTTTCTTTCTTCTCTCCCTTTCACGGACAAGTCTATGCTACTGCTTTGGACCTCTTCTTCGTTGGTCTGTTGCCTGACGGATGTTCTGCCAGGGTTGCTGCTACTGTTCGTTGTATGGCGCTGTCCACCTGCACTGTTGATGTTCACTAGCTCCCTTCTTCTCTCTAGAAGGCTTAGACCCCAATGATGAATCCCTTGCTGATGGTTCAAATGATCGAGGCTCAGGCTGGAGTTGGGACTCTGAAGACTCCCTGAGACCTGGTTCACCGATCTCCGAGCATCGTTTTGCTCGTTGCTGGTATTTGCTAGCCTTGGATAACACTCTCCGTCGATAGAGCCATCCGCAGCCGAATCGACTCTCTCGCTGCCGCTCTCGCTGCAAGAATCCAGACCACCCACCACATCAATCTCCTCGTTCGCGTCGTTTCCGGAACCTGACACGCTGCTGCTCTCGTTGTTGTTTGTCAAGTGGTTGAACGAGCTTCCTAGGCTGCCGTTCAGGGAATTTCCGCTGGATGCCGCGGCGCTCCGGGACTCCCATTCGGCGCGAAGCGTCGAGAGGTCCACGGTGATTCCCTGAAATCAGAATATTGCGTTCTTCCTTTCTGAGCTTCTATTTTGGATCGCAGTAATCTGCGGATATTATGGAACTTGGATAGACTTAATTTCTTAACGAAAGAAATTTTATTTAAGTGATCGCTACCCTTTGATGAAACGCGCTGAAGATTGAATTGATATTCGATAGGTATAACAAGATTTGTTCCACTTTAACGGAATCTACAGTACGATCTTGATATGATGTAAGTTTTAATTGAAAAGAAATACTATCAAACTGATCGAAGGTAATAACGTTTTTTCTGTTGAATTCTGTGAAGATTGAAATTATATTCGATAGATAATAAGATTCGTTTCATTTTAATAGAAATATAGATTATAATAATATTCATTTGCAAGTGTCTAAATTGCTTTCGATTGTAATCAGATACTAGAAATTAATCTATGATAGAATTACAATTTCAGAGATTACCATCAATTGCTTTTTATACATTCGTTGTATTCTGTAACTTAATATTGGATAACGCAGATTGTATTAAGTCTAGGAGTTACCTTCGCAGCTAATTTCCTCTGCTGTCGTTCAAGAGCTTTCAACAATTTCTTCTGCCGCCTTTCCCTCTCCTTTCTTCTCAGCTCTTCAGGTGGAATGGGTTCGCCGCTACAACTCTGAGGATGAGCGTTATGCGCCGGCCTTCCTGGACCCTTCTTCGTGTGCTCCTTCTTTCTCCATTTTGCCCTTCTGTTTTGGAACCATACCTGCAAGCAAACAAAGCGGATTTGTTAACTTAAGAAAGAATCCCACTTCGAAAGTGCAATGTTTCTTAGAAATTTATTTAAAATTTCTTAATTTTTAATTCATTTCTTCTAAGCAAACGCTCAACTTTAATCTTGGCCCTACAAAACATGAATGTTCCTTGAAAATGATAAATTTTCTGAAACTGCTACATTTCCTGAACCAAATGAAAAGCAGTTCTCAACTTTGATCTTAAATCTTTGAAAGATGAATCTTCATCGGAAAGGGCGGATTTTTTAAATTCTTACGCTCTATAAACCAAACGAGAAGCAACCCTCAACTTTGACCTTACACTTTTGAAAGATGAGTCTTCTGTGAGAAAATCTATGTTCTGTTAAATATGCTTGCAATTCCACCGTCGAGTGTTTCATGGAATACCGCAGGATCAAAGGGGAGAACGCAGTATTTCACCGCGACGACTGCGACTTTATCTGTTTTACCTGGAGTAATTAAAAGCACGTCCAAGCGTGGAGCGGTCACAACGGTTAAATATCGAAATTACACGAAGGAGGGCAGCCCGCGCAGAGGAACCAACGACCCCCTAGGGTGTCTTGATTCATGGTGAGTTTCAACCCTTTGCTCGCGTGAACGCTCGCGGCGTAAAGCACGATTTAAAGCCGGCGTGAATTTCGCCGCTCGACTAAGAGAGAAAGAAACATGGAAACAGAGGAGAAAGGGGTTGAAAAGGTGGTTGAAAACGATGAAGACATTAGTTGTGGCTGCGGCCCGGTATGCGGCGCTGTTCTCACGCGAGCTACAGATCAATACACCCCCGCCAACCCCTCTAACTATCCTCTGCACGTCACGTGCCCTTACAATTTTCTTCGGTTTCCTTTCTTCCCTTCGCTTCTTACTTTCCAAACGAAAACGAGATTCAATCGGAGGAAAGATCAGAATGTTCCACGCGCAGCTGGCCATTTTTCACCGAATTCTGCCGGAGTTTGGCGGAACTTTGTTTGCTCGAACTCGGTGAAACGAAAGTAGGGTGTGTTATCTTGAAAACTGGAAAATAGTTAATTGATGTATTTCTCACGCGATAATGGATTGTGAAATGCAATTTAATTTATTTGCGAAATTATTTTTATGCTATTCAGATGACATAGAAATATTATAAAGCGTAGAAAGCACTGAAATTCCTGAGCTTCGGAGAGAGAAGTTTGCAGGGTCCCAGCAAAGTAATTTCTAAAATATTAATTTTTAAAATATTTCATACTAGTGTATAATATTGTGCAAAAGTGAATCATTTCAATGCAAGGAACTACGCCGTTCGATATTTGATAAAATATCAGACAGTCGCAAGTTCATCGTCAATCGTATGTCATTATCAGAAATAATAAGCGATGTCAATTGGTTGTCGAACATCATTCAATCTTATTCTCTGTCCTAACCCGAGATAAACCATTGTTTACGATCTACATACATACATTTTTCTTGGGAATATTTACTCGCCTAAACAGTGATAAATCCGTTGATATAACGTCTGCATAAATAAAACGATAATCTCCAGACTTCATGTTCGCAGTGTCTTTTAGTAATATGGGAAACAAAATAAATAGAATAAAAAATAAAAGAATAAAGTGTTAGAAAATTTTCCCACGGATCATGTCTTTGTAACACAGATGTTTCGATTTTCATTATTATCAAGGAAGAACGACTTACAGCTGCTCCACGTTAACTCAACCAACGAGAAACATTATTTCGGCATTATTACTACTATTCGTTAGGAATTATCGCCGGCTGATAACCGCTAACAAGCTACTCCATCGATTATTATGTGCTTTGACTGATGCTAAATGTGTAACATATTTTTTTCTGGCCAGTTTACGACTGCCTTTCTTCTCCAGAGAAGCATTCATAAAACGAATGTATGGATAAGAAGACCGCCTTAAAACGTTGATATTCTCGAAATTCTAGAAAAAATATATAGGATGTATCTCTACATCTTCACGAATATATAACACAAATAGAACGAGTAATTAGCTGAAAACACTCTCAACCTGATTTACGTCGATGATATCGTGAAGTGTGCCTCATAAAGAATAATACACTATCCGAAACATCTTTCATGCGTGTATTCTAAGTTAATCGTTGTATCGATGTGATATGTTTTTGCGCCTTTACATTAAAATAAAGTTTCGTTTCGAGGAGATTATCGACTGGAATATTATCGATAAGAATAGCTACTGACGGTTTTGACTTTTTGACCGGTGAAAATAATAAAGAGATCTGAACGTAAAAGAAGTTTAACACTGCGATAATTACCCTGACGCTGTGCTAATTAATATTCAGCTCTCGTCGCTCGGTTTATTACATGCCGGCAATTCGTATGCACGAAACGTAGAACGCGTCGTGTGTTCTGTCGAATCGATTTACGCCGACAAAACAACGAACGCTCGTAAAACATCCATATAAAAAAGGTATAACTATTAATTAGCCTTAGACAGAGGCAAGCGAGTGAATTATTTTTTAATCGACATACATCTTCATCGAGATTGTTTCAACGTTGCAGTTTTCTCCTGTGATTATTCTTCCAAATTTATACATACATTTATAAAGAACTTGTATTTCAAAATATTAATAAATACGATACGTTTAATAATGTTGCAATGTTTGTTAAAATGTGTGCTTTTAATCGATATAGATATATATGTACGTATTTTCCATTTCACATCGCTTGTACATCCGAATCCATCGGTGGCCGAACCAAAAAGAATGGCGAGAATCGTTGCGATCCTCGGTGGTTATGCCGCAATACATAACACGCTCATGACAACAACAACAGGTGTCGCGACTACACAAATATTATATTTGTTCTACTAAATTAAGCAATGTTACAAAAAATGTAGAGTAAAGGCTTACAAAAGAAATTTTCGAAGAATTCAGTGTTATATGAAAATTATTAATATTTGTCCCTATAATTATCTCTTCTCGTAATTTTCAAAACACTCGAACGGAAATTCAAGATATTCTCTCTAAATGAAGATGTATATTTTAATTATAAAATTCCACCTTCTTACCTAATAAACAGAAAAAAGATAAAGAGAAGAAAGAAAGAAATAAAATTTCTCTTCGCAGGATCAAGGATCATCTCCCTGAAAGAACCAACACGAACACAGGATTGAGAGACCTTGGAAAATTTCTGAGCGGTTATTAAAATTGTCCCCATTCCACTCAAATGGATGCCAATCGTCGGACAACGTTAACGAAGTGGATCAAAGAGGACCAGTTCTGACACGACGTCGTAAAAGAGTATTGAAAAAGGGAGAAGACCGTCGATCGTTCGTGTCGTTCGGAGTGCAATTGATTTTTAAGCAGCATCCCGCCTCCCCTGCACCAGTTTGTCCGATCTTCCTTCTTCTTTCACGTTCCCTCTTTCATGTCGAGGACAAAAAGCGTACAAGGGGGCAGCTTGTTCGCTGGTTTTAAGTAAATATGATAATGATACCACAAGATCGTTCAACGACGCGTGCAACGATCGACAATCAACGAGCATGATACGTAGCCCTTCATTTAAATATAAACGGAACGGAACATGGTGGGCGAGAAAATGGCACTGCTTCAACGAGCTGTCCGTCAGTTGATACTTTCGACCTTATTTTTAAACGCTTCAAGATTTCCTGCATTCTGTTAGTTTGTTAAGTAATTGATTTTTTAAGGTATCGCATAATTGAACCAGGAAAATAACGACTCAACTGCAAAATCGCAAATTTTTAATTAAGCCATTACGTTACTATTCACAACATATCTAATATTTTCAATATGGAAATTCTACGAATATGGTTTAGTAATTTAAGGAAATTCATTCATTCATTCATTAAGGAAATTCATTAAATGAATAATTATTGTGCATTTGTTTGAATAAGCACGGCACAAGAATATTTTTATTATTTAAAAAAAGTGCATCGAAAGAAGACGAAACTTCGGAATAATACAACCAACTACCAAGATTCTCACTTTTCGAAGAAACCCACTCACGCTTATTTCAAGCTTCCGAGGAAGCAGAGGTACCCGTTTAAAGTCACAAAACGCTTCGTGTTCGCACGAGACTAATGAATTCGTTGCGATTGAGTAAGATACCGATCGTTTTCGAAAACGCACCCTTTCCGAAAGGCGACACCCACGTGTAAACCGACATGGGTCCCAGGCTGTCCTCGGCTTCCAGTTGCCCGTGGCGAACCGTGTCATCGATTTATCTCATCGTGACAATATTTTTTAAAAGCCTCGACTAGCATCCGCAGGGGTTATCTAGCATGGGTATCGGATATCTAATCTGAGGATAGTCCCTACCAAAAGACGCACCGGCTGCAGTGTGACATCGTGTCACCAGCTTGGGTTATCTCAGGATCACCCCTGTCACCAAGGTCGCTCGGTTTTCGGCCCTACAAAGGGGATAGTCTATGTTCAGCTAGCAAAGAAGCGATCGAATCGCATATCGCGTGGGTTTCGCGCGGTGATTTCAACGCCTGGTTTCGCGTGTCGACCTACTACTACATTTGTACTACACTGTCTATTATGTGAAATGAGAGAGAGAGATTTGAATTATTATATAATATGATATGAATAATTCGACGATTATAAATTAATTGTTATTATACGTATTATGAACACTGTATTTATAATAATATTTTTCTATTGTTATGTTAAATAATGGAATGATTATTAATAAGATGGTTTAGTGTAATTGTAATAAAGTCGATGACTGACGAAGCTTCGATTCAAATGGGTTAAAGAAACTAAATTTCGAGCAGATGATGCATTGCATGTGCGATTTAGGAGAGAAAATGAGGTACGATTAATTATTAGAAAACAGTGGACGATTGGCTAGTACGTAGCATATGAAGCGTGTCTAAGCACATAAATATAAATATCTTATCAAGTTGGGGAGATGTGAGGGTAGCTTCATATCCGATGGGCCGTGAAATTGAGGGTCCACCCTTTTTCGTTGGTCCCACAAAAGGCTACCAGCGTGTTATGGTGTCGAGTTCTAACAGAAGCAAAAGGATGTTGCGAATCTTTTCATCCGTTTATCGTAATAAACGAATAAATGCAATATTGTACATTGTAATTGTACAATGCAATATTTTAAAAAGTTCTTAATGATATTTAAGCTTGTTTATTAAATAAAATCTACCAATAATTTGTTAGAAATATAATGAGTCAACAGAAGCAAATCTTATCTTGCATAATTAATTTTGAGATGAGTAGCAAAACAGCGAATTGAACTGCACTTGGAATAGAGAATATCTGTTCTTCTTTCGAATTATAATGATACATTTTTCTGTAATACAATGACTTAAGGAACCACCGTGGATGGTTTTCAGAAATATGGTCCGTCAATTAAAAGCAAAACATCGCTAATTATTTGAGAAACGGGCGCTAGTCATGAAAACAATTGTTAAACCGTATACGTTTTTTTAGTTACATGCAATTCTACGACTTTCACGGAAAACGATTCGCGTGGTTCGCCAATTTATCCTGGCATCACGAGCTTCCGGAAGAATAAATTAAGAGAATGTTATCGTTTACTATTATTTTATTCCACGACGTACGAGATGGGCGTGTTACGTGTTAAAGGAGAAAAGAAAGAGTTCCGTCTGGCGATAACATTAAAAAACGTTTTCCCGCGAAATCGATTTCCTGCGACTGACGAATTGCCCTTTCACATGAAACGTTTCTCTATGCATGCGCCATGATGCATCATTCCTAATGTCATCCGAAGAATTTATAACTTTTAACCTTCTCATATTGGAAGTTTTTTATAACATTTTTTGTTCAAAGAGCATCTATTGTACGCGTGGCAAAGTCGTAGTATTAACTCTTTCAACCATTTTCGAAAATATTTCAATGCGATTATCAATTTTTCCATTTGCGAAATATCTTTGTGATCAAAGAAAACAAAATTTTCTAAAAATTTTTACTGACCTTCTTCTTTTAGTACAAACGGCTTGACGAAAGAAACGACGTACACATAAAATTCAGTTCATTATTCAAATGGATACGGTCGACGAATCGAAGCTGCGGGTCCCAAGATAGATCTTCCTCAGTTTACTACCCTCCAACACCATTCGACCGGCACACGGCTCGGCCTTTGCTAAGGTAACCGCACTCAGAATCGAGCAGATGGACTAACTACACCCGGGAGAGTAGCTCAAGGGCCGACGGTACCGAGATCAAACCACCCCCGTCCTCTGTCGGGCATCAACCCTCGAAAAATGACAACGAATTCGCTATAAATTCTCGCCTATCGGTACAGCCGATCTAGGACACCAGATAATGCTACGCCAAACGTTAAATCAGGTCGCAATAAAAATGCATTTTTCGATGTTTTTCGATGTTCATGCCCCTTTAAAAAAAAAAATTGGGCCACTTAAGCAGAAAACAAAGCAGGAAGCAAAGAAATCGACTCCTTTTCTAAAAATTTCTTAATTCGGAATGAGATTCGATTAGACATAATTCGATTAGAGATAATTCGATCAAAAATTAGATTTTTTACTTTGACTTGATTCTAACGAAGGCTTTACATTTTTTCTGAATTTCAACTTAAGTTGTTGAGCTAAAAATGTATTCGTGGAATATAAAGAATAAAAAGAAAATGTAAAAGCCTTCCTTTCGGGAAGAATAAGCGTAATCTTAATTTGTGTACTTAAGTTGACATCAATTTGCCACTATTTGTACCCAAGAGTCTTATAAATCCTCTTACATATTCTCAAATAATCTCTTCATTTCCTACCACGCTGTCAACTTCACCGACTTCGTAAAGTTCGGCGGATGTAAATTTAATGCCATTCGTTCAACCCTTCGTCGACTGGTTTCTTTTTCATAAGATCCGAGTTGCCTTTTATACCCGTTTTCCTCACAAGGGATTATCCTCCGAAGATTCGAGCGTTGAGTTTGTAAAAATACGAACGAAATATACTCACGGCCACGCGGCTCTCTTTCAGCTCGAGTCTCACAGCCAGAGCTTCTCGCATAAACACATCAGGATAATGACTCGAGAGAAATGCTCGTTCCAATTCTTCCAGTTGCCAGCTATTAAAGTTGGTCCTGCTCCTTCGCCTTTTGCTTCCACCTTCGTCCGATTCACCATCGCAGCCTGAAATTATGAACGTACCCACGTTAGAATCTCTGTAGATTTTTCGGCAAGAAAGTTAAGCCACTTAGTCACTTATTATCCTTTCATTTCGGGATTAAGATCTTAAGCTTCACCTGATATTTGTTGGAGAATAATATTCAATTACATATTCGATATTATACGGTGTTTCTTCTGAAAACATCGTACATAGATTCGAAGGTTGTTTGAAGAGTGTTTTCTCGCTTCTCAAAAGGAAAGTTAAGAAAATTGGTATTTATTCTTTTCGTTAGATTGTTATTGGAATTTTGAAATAGGATAATTTTTTAAATAAAAGTTGATACATGGAATTTAGATGTTTCTTATTTCAACAGTATGTGTTCTAACAATTTGACTTCAACCTTCTTATTTTGTCTTAGACAAACTTCCACTAAAAATAATAATTATAGTATAGAAAACAGCTGTTAGAACTCCGATAGAGAATAATTACCTACAGAAAAATGTTTTCAAACTTCTTAATAGAAATCAATATCAAACTATACATTGCTCGAAAAATACTATCGAAATCTATTTCTCCCAAGCACGATCTGATGCGATATTTCCCTAAAAGCTGCACGTCTGGTAATTGCATAGAGACGTCATTTTCCATGTGAAAGGGAGAAACACACTAAGGCTTATCGTCGCGGAATTGTTCGAGCTATCGTATCATTCGGACCTATCGTCTCGTCGCAGATAAGACCGGGAAGCAGAATCCCGACATATTGAATAAACATAGAATTTCAGTGATTTTACGAGGACTCACGTCTACCCTCCACCCTATCTCAAGCAAAAATCTGCGGATCCTCGATTGTTTTGGCAGACGTCTCCGTCCAAGTATGCGCTGATACGTATGCTAATGCGGACGGAGCGGAATTGAAAAAAGATCGGCAATTATGATTGACTCAGCAATAAGGTCGCCGTTATCTGGATCGGGAAATGAAATAGCACGAGACGAAACGTTTCCCGAGATCGAAATGATTCGAAAAGAGCTTCATGTATAACATTTAATATCCTTCTAAATATTTTGGTGAAATTGTTAGGAATTGGAAGAATCGATAAGGATTTTATGAGGTAAAATTTAAATTTTTATTAACAATGTTAAGTATTATCAATGATTTTCATGCTATTTTAAGGTTCATGTATTTTGGATTTGCGCAACAACCGGTGAAATTTTTGTTCTTACGATATAATGCCAAGTATTATTAATGATTTCAGATAATTCGATTTCAAAAAAAAAAAAAATCGAACGACCAATTTTCGGAAAAGAACTCCGATCAATCGTCTCCTTACAAAATTCATCGAAAAAGGGATAGATTGTAATCTCTGTTAATTCGTGATTTAATTTATCCAAAGATAAATGACTAAAAATCGTATTAGCGCAGAGAATTGAGCACTTACGTTGGCGAAAGAAGGAATTCGTGGTTGAGAGACACATTGGAGCGTTCGCTGGCGAAAAGTGTAGCCTGACACAGGCAATTTTTCTTCTTTCACGTCCGCGGCACGGTATTATTATCGGAAACGACTATCAAACTTGATAGATGATACAGGTAGCACGTTAAATAATTTATGAGAGAACGAGTTAAACAATTTTCACGTCCGGCTTGATCGCCGAACGTCCTCTCAATCTATTTTCGTCGCGTTCAACGGGACAGAATTACGTTTTCCTCTTTCCAGACGAGAAAGCAGTGCCCATCTTCTGATAATATAGCCGATCGCATAATGAACTTGACATGATGATAATGATTCGCTTAATTCCGCGGCACAAGCATGACGCGTTCGGACACAATGATCAGCCGCCTCGTAATCATCGCTTCCGTAAATGGTATCTCTCAATTTATCTAAGAACGCATGACCATTTACTCGTCATTTATCGAAACAAAATATGTAATTGAGAGGATTGCTCGCCGCCATACTTGACATCCGACTTTTATTGCTTTGATTGCACGTTGATAGTCTTTAACTCGAACCGATCTATTGTTCCTGATTTAATTATATTCACGATGGATTGAGACGTTCTTCAGAATTATCCAAGTAAATTTTTATTACGGTAGAGGATTTTGCATATTTCCTTTCGGGGAATTAAAAATTCTGATCGAAAGGAACGATTGAACATAACTATATCTTAACATATCTATTGAGTATTTACGAGTATCTATCAGTTACCAACGAGTTATCAGCGAGCGATTATACACTGTCTTAGCGAATTTGTTAATAGGAGCGTCTTAACGACAGTATCTGTAATTATTCATTTATTTATTATTTTAAATACACTTGACGGTTCCAACAACGCGTTACATCGTTATTTCGTCAACCATCATACACAATCCTCTACATAGGTATGTATTAAGCTTTGCCAAAGGGCTGAAAAATTTCTACACTTTTTTTGGGTGGATTAAACGTGTAGGTGTATTTAATAATGTAACGAGTGGATGAATTCGTAATAGTCCAATGTATTAAAATCAGTATAAGTACAAGTACAAGAGATAGTGTATACCGGTTTTAATCGTCGCTCGCTCAATGCTACTATGCCGATCGAAAAAAGGATAACAATACTCTGTCTTAGGGAGCACGTTCATACATTTATATTGAGGGACGTTATCACAAAAAGTTAACTTGCTCATGTAACTCTGGCTGAAGATTCTGGCTGAAAAAACGGCAATAAAAATCTATTCGGAGTTCATTCGCCTCTAGACTTTGTAAAAAGTTAAACAACGTTAGTACTCGAAGCCACAATAATATGGGTCTCTGCCTTATTTGAATTTTACATTTCCACTTGATCTTTTCCTACGTTCATGTGCCACTACATTTTCAACACGTAATTTCGTTTGGAAACAACCAGTTATCGTTTTTAGACAAAAACATTCCGGTTTACAAATTGACGTCGAATAATCGAGCAATATCGCTCAGCAGATATTTCGCACACGAATCAAACCGGCCCAAATCAGCGCATGGGAGCATGCAAGTTAATATTTCGAGCACGAAACATGCAATCAACCTATACACTTTCCCTTCAGAAATACAAGTTTCCCATATAATATATACCGCGTAAAATCCACAAGATTTATCCTGGATACGCCACTTCTCTTTTAAACTGAAGAAATAAGGAGATTCGTCTGCCAAACCAGCACCTTCGCGCGTATCATATCCCTGAGTTTAAAACGCGAACACGTTCCACGGTGTTTTGCGCAAAAATAAACACGCCGACAGCGATTTTCATGAAAATCGTTTATCCAATCAGGCAATCGTCAATCGTCGACAATTTTAAGAGATCGCGTTATGCACGAGCATACGTATAATTTCCTACTTACACATTGGCGAAACTGGTCCAGGGAAATTGACGTATCCCCTTGCGCCTCTCGTTCGTACACCCTACCGGAATATAGAGGGACAGTTAAAAATCTAAACAGCTGTAATGCGTATGTTTGTCACAGGAAACTTCAGGAACGTTGGCTCCTTCGTAATGACGAGTTTGCCCCACGTTATGACGGATTATGAATACAAATTACGCACGGCGCCAACATCGTTTTAATGGCAGGGTAATTTATTACGATAGCTCTATACTATCTCTCTCTCTCTCTCTCTGCCTCTCTCTCTCTCTCTCTGCCTCTCTCTCTCTCTCTCTCTCTCTCTCTCTCTCTCTCGAGCATCGGTCTACGGAGCCATCTTTTCTTTTTCCTTTTTTCATCGGAACCTCGTCCTTCGAGGGGAGTCGGCGTTTAAGCTAATTGTCGCTGCACGCGAGAAGCAATTTCTACTAGAGGGATCATTAAGGGATCGAAATGTCTTCGTTCCGTGGGGAATAAAAAATTTTCACCGGTTATCGTAGGTTAAAAAGGCTAATTCAATACTCCGGAGAGGCATGCATACGAATTACCGTGTAACGCAATTTTATTATATGCATATATAAAGGAACAGACAACAGGCTACGGATAGACAAGCCGTGGGACACTTCGATAATCAGCACGTTTCGTTAATAAATCTCCAACGATTACTATTACTTCGCTACGATCGTTTCGCCAAACGACGATCCGACTTGAGTGTAATTTCCATTCTAAGACACTCCTACCTCCTTCACGTAATCAAACTCAAAGATCTCTCGAATTTCCGTGAAATTACAGTCAATTGCTGAAGTACAGTCGAGTATTTTTTTTGGACGATTGATAGTTGTACAATATAGAAGTTTGAGAACCACTGGCTCGTTCTACAGATCTTTTTTGTATTATTTAATAGCTGAATATTTGATAATCTTATTATCCATTACGTATTTCATTTTCAAGAAATTATTCAATTAATCGAACGAAACATGAATAAATTATCGACATAATCGACGTACTGAATATTCACTGAAAGGAAAATTATGGCTCAAGGATGCAGTAAAAGATACTTTACTCTATATTTCCTCCGTTAACACTAGACAATATTGCAAATCTAAAATCTACTAAAATACTGATAAAACTTGTTGCAGAAAGAACGCAAGATGCAGGGAAGAATCAATCGAATCGAGAAACGTATATTCAGGTAAGAAGAGAGAATCGGAACAATAAAAAACGAAATAGGAAAACAGCGGATCATTCTCGCGATGGTGGAAGATTAAAACGTGCTTGTAACAAAACGTGTTTCGAATATAAATTGCTTTCATCCGAAACAGACGCCGCCGGTGTTCAGCTGCTATTTATTGCAGGCTGGGTCATCGCGATTCGCCCGCTTCTCTTTCGGTACCTCTTGTCCAATTAAGATTTACCAATCGACGATAATGTTCGCGAATCGGCCGTGTCGTTGTTGACGAGAAGCTAAAGAGAAATAAAAAATTATTCGGTCGCGCATTAATCAGCGTAATTAGATGCTATTTATCCATCGATTACCTCTCTCCTCTTCTTTCCTTCGTCTTGCGAGAAGACCGAATGAGAGCAGGACGGATATCAATCGATCCGCTCATTATTGATAATCTATACTCCGTCATAAGCGATTCATCCAGCTGTACACGG